CTAATAGGTCTTTGGGAGGTGACTGGCAGGAGGAGATCTCTCAAGTACCCAGGTCCGATACCATGTACTCAAAGACTTTGGCCACCTAAGGAGAAGAAAGGACACTGGATGGAGCATTCCTCCGATGAAGATCCACCACTTCATCTGGAATGAGGGAGAGCAGCTGTCCAAAAACCAGTCTACCTTTGGACAAATTCACACCTAAGTTTGGTCAGGGAGTTGGTCTCCTCTATCTTCTTTTTCCTCCGCTTTTCCTGTCCAACCAACAGGCTGGCAGAAGAAAAAGCGTCTTCTAGGACCTCTGAACGGGACACTGGCAGAAACATTGCCGAGATTAAAACTTTGACCCATCGAAAATCATTTCATGGCCCTGTGATCAATGCTGCAGTGATGGGTCTGTTTGCTTACCTGGGTGTCCGCATTAAGAACTTTAATCCTCTGGGTGGAGATGAACAAGTCCACCTCTGTCAAAGCATGGGCATCCCCTTCAGAAGTCTAAAAAAAAGACAGAGAGTAGTAAATTCACTTCAAGAAGGTCCTGGGAAGAGCAGGCTCCTCACAGACTACTTCTGATATGATGGGACGTACAACAGGCACACTGGGTGACTTACTGTGACACAGAACAACTATTTGGAATGGTTTGTTTTTTTTAAAAAAGAAAAAAAGACATGCAACGGTACAAATTAACTTTCCAGTTTCGGAGTTCTGCCTTCAGCAAAGATGGGGAACAAGGCAAGAGAGATTCTAAGTTGGAAGTTTTTGCTTCTGTAGTAGTGATCTCCAGCAGGAATGGTTATATTAATTGGACGAGGCTGAAACCCAGAAAACTTTTTAAAGATCAAGAGGTGACTTATATAAAGAGGACATTATTCCACAGAGGTTTAGTATAATCGCCAAACGTAAAAATCACAATCATTTTGGCTGTCTTTCCTCTTTTAGACCACCAATGGGTAGATACGGGACTCGTTGGATCTACTCTGATTTATTTCTGTCATTAAAAACCCAAAGTTGATGTAGGATGAATGTGAAGCACCCGTGGTTCGCCCATGAGGCCTATGTTGAGAAAAGACAAGGACACGAGCTTTCTCGGGATGAGGCGACCCACATTGGG